GTTTCATGTCAACAATAGTTATTTTGCTTTCTACTTTTTGTTGTCTTTTTTAAAGCAATTTGAAGTTTTCTGAATAAAAGGTTTATACAAACATAAGGGAATAACCACATATTTAAAATTTTACAAAGCAACTGTTTATTTCATTTCTACTTTTGTATGTTTCAACAATTGCTTTTCTTTTAAGTGTGTTGGTTTGTTACTAATTAACATAGCCCTTGTTTTTCTTCCAGTCCATAAGACGACAAGAATGGACAGCAATCATTCCAAACTCCCAGCTTATAGTCATCCCCTATCCTCATAATGTCCCTCGAAGGTACCTTCGTCATTTGCTCTTCACAAAATTACATTAACACATTAATACAGAGTTTAAAATTAGACGCTATGTAAAGGTTTAAAACTTGTTACTTGCATAGAAAGTAAATTTAGGATCAGTGGCAAGGGGTTTTGTTCTACAGATGTTGATGCCTCTGTGATGAGGCAGAAGACTGCTCAAGTATTTACACAGTGCCCATAAAGAATCAAAATGTATTACCATCTCAACTCCTGTAAATAACAACACATTTTCTAAATTTACTAACATTCTTTCTGACAAATTGCAAACATCATAATGATTGAAGGAAGCATTTTTGTTTCACCAAACATGCAGTCTCTATGTAGTTGCACATAAAACCTTTAGTTGAGCCCTTCTGAATGCAGTATCTGTTTCCACAGGTAAGAGTGCTGGGGTTTTTTTACGTAAAGGTGAATGAGTTGATTGTATAAGAGCTTGAACACTTAATTCATTTTGCAATTAAAATGTTTATCCCAGAAAGAGAGCATGTTTCTCTCTTTGCTATTAGAGAAAACATTAGTCACATATTCCAGCTGCTTTTTGCCGCTTGATCTACTAGTGAGGTCAGTTGCATTTATCATGCAGAAATTATTTTGACATCAGTTTCAGCAGTTAATTTCACTATAGGACAAATAACAGTTGAGAGACACTATGTGCCACTTGAGTTGCTAATTAAAACCACAAGAATAACATCTGCCAGATGAATAAAATTTAGTCAAGAGTCCTGAGGTATTTAAAAGGTATGTGTTATGCAAAAATTTTTGTCATTGTATCCTTAAGCTATTTCTGCTTCCCTGTAAGTTTATGAACACCATGGAACAGCAGAGTAAAGAATTCCCAGAAGAAATAATATTTCATTTGAGGGATGTCTTCCAGAAGCCCTTAAAGTGCTTAATTTTATTGCTCACCAGCATTCTCTTGCCATAATCAACTGTTTATGTTGCCTACAACAACGGTTGTCCCTGGGTAAACTTCAGACAGGGATGCTTAACCAGCTGGACCAAATGAGCCTGTCCAAGAGGAGCTTCTCATGGAAGAAACTGTATCTTACAGGCTTATTTCACTCTGCTCCAGGCAGTTTTGTGGAAGGTTTTCTTACGCAGGCTACTTTGTCCTGGGCAAGAGATATATCTCCTAATGAGAAAAACTAAGTCCCTGAGGATATCCATAGCATTCCTGGAAAGTTAAGCAGAAACTGCATTAAGACATGGTGGTACCTGGAAATAATTGTATTAAGCCATAAATTTCCAGGTAAACACCATTAAGCTTCAGTGTCTAAGTACAGCCACTGGTATCTGTAGATCAGGTTGTTACCTGTCTTACAGTAGCAGGTTATTTTCATCTTTCTAAGTTAAATGTTTTTTCTGCATGTTAATGAAGGGTATTAATGTTTCCCTGGATTCTCTTCCTGTGTACAGCTGGAGTGCCAAGCTGTATCTGACCCCAAGTAACATTGTGCTGCTAACAGCTATAGCCTTAATTGGTGTCTGCGTTTTCATCCTGGCAATAATTGGCATATTACATTGGCAAGAAAAGGTAAGCCTAATTAACTACACTTTTTTTTTTGTATTTTCTGTACTATTTAACACTTGCTAATATTTTACAGTCTTGTACATTCGGGTTTTTTTATAGTAGCTTTCAAGACTGTAATTTCTTACACAGACTTCGTTAATTCCCAAAAGGTTTTTAATATTAATTCCATATTTACTGCAAGCTTAAAAATTCTCATTGTTTTTATTTAGGCTCTAAGACACTTAAAAAGGGACATGATGAGCAACATGGATAAGTTTTTTGCCATTAAGCTGTTACTCACAGCTGAGACATTTTTGTTTCACATCTGAGCTTTCCATTTTGCTGAGTTTTAGGACTGCTGTTTTGGAAAATAGAACATAAAACGCAGTTTACTTGAGTGCTGCTGGTAATCTAAAATAAGGAATCTCTTTTTCTGTATCTATCTTTGCTGATTGCACTGACGTTAGTATTCAAGACTGTATAGGGAGTCAATTCTGTGCATATTGGCTGCTTTGCTCTGTGTCTGAATTATACATGCAGTGTACAGAAATCCATTGATTTGAAGAAGCATTTTGAAAGGGGCCTTTCATGTCACAAAAGAAATGTTCCCAGTTTTCTTATCTATGCTCGCGTTCACAATCATATCCAAGTGGCAGGATTGCAAATAAATGCTACTACATACCCAAACCATAATCTTAGCTGTCAAATGAAATTACTGCACATTTTGACATGGTAGAACTGTTTGTTATTTTGTGCTTGTGGAAATAAAATGACCTTGTTAAACATTCAGACAGGCTTTGCGCATGCTTCATATCTCAGTGTTAATTTGTCTGTCAATCTCCACTGTTCAAAATGTTAAGTACAGTGTCCAAATAACAGTAAAGCACAGAATAAAACACAAAGCAAAGACATACAAGTTTATGATGACTGTCCTTAGCATGTCCTACTATAACGAGAAAGAACTGCTAATTGTGACTATGCACTGGGTGGGTTTAACTCTGCCTACAGCACATGTTAAGCAACAAGAGTAGCAGAAAAACATACTTGGACTTCTCGTTGGGGAAGGATTAACTATGTACAGTTCCATATGGAAAAATGGAGATTTAATAGAAGTGTTTAAAACAATTATTAGTATAATTCATGTATTTTAATGTCAAGAACTACTCAGCCCAGAGTGCGTGCTTTCTGAACCATGTTAAAAACCCCATTAGGTATATGTGAATTAAGTGGTATTTTGGTTACATTATACACTTCTTTCCACCTGCTACATTTTGCTCAGAATAGGCACAAATATTTTTATAAATTGTGTGTATTTTCAGACTGCTGTATAAACATTATTTAATTCCTGTAATTTTCCAATGGTTTCCTAGTGATTTTTACCTTCCCAATTTTTAGAAGAAATGATTAAGTTACAGAACATGTAAGAATCTCAACTAAGGCTGTACCATACATCACTGACATGACTGGGTGCTAAATTCCTAAGTTCTTTGTTTATTTGCTTGTTCTTGGTTTACTGTCTCTTTCAGTAATCCTCTCATAAAAATACTGTTGTGCCTAAATGCTGTTTTCCCATTCAAATCTCTAGAGTACCTGTAGCAAAGAAAGGAACAGGAAATATACCAGCAGTTACAATCTCTTCTATTCCCCCTGAGGATGATTATCTGTCTGTAACTGCTGTTAAAATAAACCGCATACTTTGACCTCTGCAGATAAGTAGTAATAGGAGCCCTTTGTCTGTGATACTTCTTACACACTTGTCTGCCAGCCAAATATTTTATTGTTTAAATAACTATAGGATTCAGGAACAGTATATATTGCTCTGTCAGTTTCAGAAAATTTGGATCTATTAAAAAAAACCAAACCCCACAACTTTCAAATATCAGGTACGAGTTTTTAGTTTTCATACATCAAATGAAAGTGAGATTGAGGAAGAATTTACAGCATTATTCATCTTACAACAAATAACAGCTGATACATTAGCTAAGGACCTTGATGTTCCTGTGTTCTGATTCTTTATAACTTGCTTTGTGGTCTTGAGGCTACTCATGTGAATGCCACTCATTGATGGTAATGCTGCTTAGAAAAGTTTTGATGGATTCATTGGAGTATCAATTACTGCCAAATTTGAAGTAGTAATTTATTTTTTTAAACCATACAAGAAATTGAGTGAAAATTGCCAAGTGAGACTATGAAATTTTGTGGAATGTGACAAGCATTTCAATATAGGAAAGATTATGCCACTCCCTTCTTCCCATCCCATTTTTTATGTTCAAAATACTACTGTCATTGATAAAGTCCCTGCCAAAAAACCAGCCTGATCTATCTTAAACTTCACTGACAGCTACTGCTGCCACAAAATGCAGTAAAAGCCATAGTTAATCCAATGGGTTTGATATCAGACATAAACATTGTGCAATGAGGAATTATTTGGCCTTGAACCAAAGCAGATGACAAACTTTCATGGCAGAACACATGCACCAGTTTCTACCATGTATATTTATCAACTGAATTGTCATGTATATTTATCAACTGAAATACAAATCTGAATGCCCACACATTAGCATATTGTAAAGGCTTTTCTTCATTTTACTCAAAAAAATTAAGCAAACTAAAAAGCACTGCAATCTGTTTTGCTAAATTCTCTTACGCTAGGATTTGCACATAATGTCTGTCATGACAAAAATGCTGTTTTCCAGAAAGATCCTCTAATAAGTTCTTTCAGACTCCGTTACTGGTTTAGAATACAAGAGGAGGCTTGTGGGAGCCTACATACTACATGGATTATTGTTAAAATTTAAATATGCTTCTTTTTTTTCAAGCACCTTCCAAACTACTCTTTTAGCAGATCAGGGTGTGTTCTGCACAAATAAACAGGGAAATGCATCCTACCTCTACATTTTCCTAATCCAAACAAAAACACAGAACATTTTTAGTGTACTTGGTGCTGTTAATTATTGGTTGAACTGCCATCTTGACTACATTTGTATGTAGTAGGGTTTTTTTAAAAAGAAACTCATTTTAAGTGCATTACAGGTAAAAATTACAGTTAATCCAGAGTAATTTCTTCTCATTTATGATGCAGACTAAATAAATGCATACTATGAAACATCTTCATTTTTTAAATACTCCTTTTTAAAAAGCATTATTAGAAATACTATAAAATAACGGGTCATAAATTTTAAAACAGCTGAACATTAACATCAGAAGCCAATTTTTAGTTGATTATTGCTATTTCAAACTGACATAATTTAAAAGCTAATTACTGGGGCTTTTACTAAGCTTTTTGCTTTTTGTCAAACGAGTAACTTGGAAAAAAAAAAAATCAACCATTCCCTGACATTGTGGTGACTCATTTCTGTAACAGTATTGCTCTAGATCCCACAAAGTGTTTCTTTATTATTATTTTTCAGAAAGCAGATGACAGAGAGAAGCGACAGGAGGCTCATCGGTTCCATTTTGATGCTATGTGACATGCCTTAATATTTATGAAGGAGATGCTACTCATTTGCTTAATTGAATACTAAATTCAGATTTGTGAAATTATTACCGTGAAAATACTGCTGGTGTGCTATTTGTAAATGTTGCATTATTTGGTATTTATTTGGAAAGTATTAAAATTAGACCTGAATGTCTTGCAAGGCCTGTCAGTTAACAGACTGTATATAACAACATTTGGTCTTTATTTAACAGAACTGTAAATTTATTTTTCTTAGTAAAGGGATCAAATTGCATGTACCATTGTTTACGTTTCACCAATTCTTTAGTAATGTTTGATAGAAGGCAAGTTGTGTAAATAAAGTTCAGCATTTCAGTGAGCAGAATACTTTGTACCACTTCAATTGGGCTTGTTATTTGTACAGTCCTTGCAAAATAACCTGCATTTTTGAAAACTTAAGCTTGAGCAATTTCTCAGATGACTTGATCATTATTTTGATTGTACTAAATGGTGCTCAATGTCAAGTATTCTGTATTTTTCTTCGTTTAAATCCATATGTGCAATAGTTAAAGAATTTAGGAACTGGGGAACTACAAGAAGCCTGCAATGTAAGTGCTAGTGCATTAGCTCATCATGGGATAGATGCAGTATTTATGTGTGTTAGTTCTAGAGAGAAGACAACGTGTTAAAAAATTAAAATCATTAAAATATATCAGCATTGCATAAACTGCTTTTATTATTAAATTATAACCACATTTATTTTAGAAAAGCCTAAAGTCACTATGATTTATTATTTTTTTAATATAAGAAGGTTATGGTATTTTTTTGTTTGGTTTTGTTTTTAAAGAAGGAATATTTTAGAGTCAAAGGAGAATGAAGATTGGCTCCCTAAAATTTATTGCTAAGAGATGAGGTATACAAAGATTTTATTAAGAATAGGACACTCAGAATAAGCAATGGATGATTATCTAAGTGCACTACCATACCCAAATTTTGTAAGGCTGTAATAATTACATAAGACAAGTGGCTCAACTTTATGTATTTAAAATGGTAATAATGTTACAGTTGCTCAGTGTACTCCTGGAAGAGTCTCTAAAAATAATCATGCTTTTATTTAAGAGTTATTCTTTAGTGATACAAGTTTACATTGTTAGGTATGTATTCAGTCTGTCAGTTTGCATTCCTAATAAATACTGTTTGGTAAACTAGAACAGCTTCCTCAACCAACTACAAAGTGTTGGGTCTTACAGACAATCACCTCTGAAGGAGGTGATCTCCTTCGGTCTGACACGTGTCCGATAACCGGCTGCCCTGTAACATTACCTCTGCTTGTCAATACAGCCACAGAAAAGGGAGCAGGCACAAAGATGAACTATGTCCACCCTGAGTCACAGACAAACCATTTGTTACCATGGCAGTGCTGAACAGTGACCCATTCATACAGCAGCACCAAGCCAAAAATCAGAAAAGTACTGTAAGTGGTCTACTAAGCTATTAAGTTTTACTAGATATTTCTCATATCAAATGATCAGATGCCAACAAAGGAGACTTCAATATTAAATTACTGTTATTATTCAGGATAGCATATTCTGTGATTCTGTGATTTCTTTAATGTACACTTTTAATATTTCTCTTAGAGTAGTAGGAAAAGGAAGATATTTTTAGATAAATACCTAATGCTATTGGACTTTTAAAACCCCATTTGATAAAATTTGCTCCGGACCACAAAAGTAATAACAGGTTTCATTATTAAAAGGCAGCACAATTCAATACCTTTCCCATCTTTTTAAGATAGTTGAAGAATAAGGCTAAATGCATGATGCCTTTATGGCAGCCAAGTTGTCTGTAGCCCTCAATCACAATATAATAAACATAGATTAGCCTCCTTACGTTTTTTGGAAAAACAATTAGGAATTAAATAACCTCATGCTGACATTTAAGCTGTTATCAAGTTAACAAAACAATTAACTCAGTATCTTTTGCTTAAAGGTATTTTGCATGCTCAGTTGTGCATCACTGCATCATTTTAATAAAAGTCCATTATTGGCCCTTTAATAGCTTTCTTACAATGAAGTTTACCACAGGTTCTAACTACTCATAGCTTGGCTCACAACAGTATATGCATACTGTTTTGAATTAAGGTATTAGATATTGTTAAACCTCTTGTCGTTTCTATGTCATACTTTGGTTTTCTATTTTATAAGCATCAAAAGTATGTTTGAATAAGGTTATTACCCTTCCACCAGTTAAGTATAAGAAAGCAATGTCAATTAGAAAGTGTAGGTCTCGGTGATCAACACAGTAACTGAGAAGTGAGAAATAGTTCTAACTACATAAATTTTCAAAATGCATCCACCAAACAGAGCCCTGGTGAGAAATGCTATTGGAAGGCTTCTTCAGTGTGAAATCTCACCTATATAAAGATAGGTTGGCACGCCAAGTGACAGATGGCTGTTGAAATGCCATCATTCTTTGTTCGCATTTTCTATGAGAAGCTTTAAGACTGAATCTTCCTACCAGATTTATCTTTAATGCACTATAATCCTCCAACAAAAGAACCAACTTTTCTGCTGTAGATTAACAGGCATATTCTATATATTATAATATTCCTCCTATGATGACACCATTCATCTTACAGACAGCTGTATTAAAAACATTTGCTATGGTTAAAGAGTAACCACTATAAATGCACCAAGTCAATTCAAGACTTTTAGAACTACTTTCAAATAAATTACACCTAAATAGAACAGAATAAGTCAATCCATAAATTTCTACTATATTATAATCATCAGAACTTAGTTTTGTTAAAACAATGGAAAAGCATAAACTGGACCAGTTTTGAAGGCATCAATAACTAAAAGAATGCTTTTTTTAAAACCAAGAAAATAAAATTATGCTTAAAATAATCTGAAACTTTGCAAATAAATAGTATTTATTGTAAAGGGATGGGCAGATTTTTTTCTCAAAGACTTAAGAAGCATGTAAAGGACTTGAGAACAATAAATGTTTAAGTCTTAAATCCTGTTTCAGTAGCCCAGTTATCCATTCTTTTTTTTTTTTTTTTTTCCATTTTGGCAATAGGATCTTTTTGTTGAAGGACTAATATCGACCTCAGCTGTCACTTTGAAAATAATCAGCCACACAGCACTATTTTTATAATTAATTCCTATTTTCAGTTAAAAATGTGATCCCATTAGAAATTCCTGAATTGTCCAACTTAAGCCAGAAAAGTTTGTAGGTATGTTCTAATACTCAGATCTAATTATATTGCCTTGAAAACAGAGAAACTATCAGTATGCTTCATGATTATTTGAAAGTTTGCACTGCTCAGTAAACAGCAAAGCTAATTAAACATATCTATGTATGAGGCACTTGCACATTCTGCCATTTTCTGTTTAGAAATTCTATATAATTAGGATGTATCAAATGCATCTATTGACAAACCCAGGTACCAGACCAGTTAAAATCTAACTCTGAATGTCCTTTCAAAATTATTCACTGTTGACATCTGTATTTTTGCAACCTCTTTAAAAACAAGATTCAAATAGTCTCAAACATAATAAAAACTTGCTGGTCTAAAACTATTTGTGATGTACAGTCTGCTACTCAAGACCAGCAAATACTTTAGGTAATAATAAATTAAAGCATCTATTAGAAAAGCAAACCAAAGGAAGTTTTAAGGAAGAACTGGTGGGAGGAGACAAAATCAGTTCTAATGATGGAAATCCAAACATTGTATTACAGCAGAGCACCTGTTGTAACTGATTTATTCTTTAACTATTCACATGGGTATTTACCTGCATCAAGAAGAACAGTTTCATTCCCTACTCCCATTCAAAAATAATTATGATGACTCAATAAAGCAGTGGAACAATATACAACTAGTTGTCTAAAAGCTGTCTTCAACCTTTTTTAACTCCTAAACTCAAGTTTAATTAACTTGAGCTTACTGCCAGCTTGACCTGATGGCACAGCATTTTCTTCCCAGGAAACTAGCACTCTGCAGGCTCAGAAAATGGGAAGTGAAAGTTTCTTCAGACTTGCCACAAGTTTACTCTAAAATACTCTTAAGCACCACCTATAACAAGAACTCAAGCAAGACAAGCAACAGGGATGTCCACTTCAAAAGTTTATCTGAAACCAGCAGTAAACAAGGCAGAATATACCCAAATCTACAAATTTATGCTACTACCTGTGTCTCACACACTGAGAGCTTTAATGCAGGCCAGGGAAAGAAACAGGATGGGAAAGCTCCTATGCTTCTCCAGGTGTGTAATAGCTTTGTTCAACCTTCTAATGGGCAAACTAGAAGTTCAACTTTTCAGTTAAATTGACTGTGGAAGATTGGGTCTTGCAATTACTACCAACTTGTCTTGAGCACAAGATATTACTAGGTTTTTCTCCTACTGCTTTGGTGCGAGACAATTGACCACAAATAGTTTTCCTGAATGCAAACTCAGCTAGGGGTCTAAGAATCAGGCTAGTTCTCTTATTTCTTGTATCATCATAAGTAATAAAAAAATCTGAGCCAAATTTTGCCATCAGTTACACTGTGCATTCCAAAAGAAAGAAAGAAACAAAAAACAAACCACAACCAAAACAACAAACCCCTGTCTCCTAACAACCTGCACAACAGCATAGTCAGATTTTAATTTTGTGCTCATGTACTTGCAGAAGGGATAAAAAAAAAAACTGTGGGTGATACAGAGATACAGCAGAAATTATTAACCTGTTAGACTACCTTAAACATTTTTGTTAGCAAAGAAAAAAAGCCAAGCAGATGCACCTAATGAGGACTTATCTTTATATGGGAGTTTTCACTATAGAATTTAACATTTCATCACACCACTTTAAAAACATGGTTAAGAGCTGAACAGAGAGAAATTGCTTTATTCACTCCTGGAATGCCACAGCTATTTTACAATTCATGGGAAAACTACCCTTTAAGAAGGACTGTATCATCTCAATTTGAAATTGAAAGGACAATCCAAGTAAGCGGAATAATACAATTATGTAACTTGGGATTTTGCCAGAACATCAAGCTTAATACTTCATCAAGCTTCTTAAAACACTGAAATGGATCTTTAATACCCAGAAAAATTCAGAACCTTTACTGTAAGGTCTCACCGGGGCTGCCCTGCACCCCGTGGCTGAGATCTGGGAGGGAGAAGTGTCACCTCCTGCACCCGCAGGGCTCCACGTTGGCTTCGGCCACCTGCTCTGCAGTCCCTCCTTGCTTAGTTCGCCACCATTAACAATCTCTTTGACTTGAAGAGCCTGAAATATTTAACTGGTAACCTGAAGCAAGAGCATGACCTTTTCTAACAGAATATGCTGACCTTTGAGCATTGTAGAAAGGACTAAACATTCAACCACATAGCACCAAACCACAAGGATATCGGAACTTCACCTCTCACGTCATGTTCGAGATTGTAGTAAGCAAGCCCCGCTTCTTAAGGAGACGGAATCGTAAATTGCAATTATACATCTAATTTACACGTCCTATAATCTAGTGGGT